GAGGTGAACTCAAGTCACTGAGAGCTCCCAACGCTTTGGGAAATCCACACTGTTGCGGAGTTTGTTACCCTGAAGGGCTTTCCCACCTGGAAAAGGCCAAACTCTTGATGGCTTTGCCCACTGCCCCTCCTGCCTTGTGCACAGGTGAGTCCTCCTCACTTTCAGGTCTCAGCTCGATCTCTCCTTCCGCCTTCATTCCCTTGTAGACCCAGCAAACCACCAATCAGGGAACTGCAAACGCTGGAGGCAGGGAGGCTCTTGGCACCATCACATAAGCCCTCTGGGAGCTGGGACACCGCTGTTTCCACCCATGCGGGCTGCCCAGCCCCTGGCATACTGGGGGACAGGGTTGGGGGCAAGCGTGTGGTTAAATACATGAATTCAGGCCCTTTGGGAATGGAAGCCAGGGCTGGCCTCCAAGGACGGGGGACAGAATCATTCAGCCAGGGGACTCTGAACTGGATGCTGCTTCATACCGTGGCCACAGGGAGGGCTCCCAGAGCAGCAGTGCTGGTGTGCCTCTCACAGGAGCTGCGCTGGGAGGACAGCACAGCTGTGGGCGTTGGGGGGAAAAATCGGGGAGCCGGCCCTGGGACCTTTCCACTTTAGGGCCGCCGTTCTCGAAGAGCAGCCGGCCACCAGAAGCAAGCGCTGGCTCTGCTGGTAGAGAGGAGCAGTTTGTATTGAGAAGGGCCATCTCCGGAGGCCCAGCTGAGGTGACGCAGGTGCCCGCTGTCCTGCAGTGCGGCCGGGGAGTGTGCGGGGGCGGAGGGCGAGCAGCTGCAGGTGGGTGTACAGAGCCGGGGCTCCTCTGGCCACGTGGGCCGACACGGGAGGCCTGCCTCTTATGCCTGATTGTGTCCCCCTAAAAGGCATACGTTGAAGCCCTAACCCAGTACCTCAGAATATGACTGTATTAGGAGATAAGACCTTTAAGGTCCTGGCACCAAAATCTGTATTAGTCAGGATTCTCCAGAGAAACGGAACCAATAGGATGTGTGTATCTATAGCTGTATGTGTATCTGCATCTCCGTGTCTATATTATCTGTCTATATCTGTAGCTACTTATGTACAGAGAGATTTATTATGAGGAATTGGCTCACACAGTTGTGGAAGCTGTCAAGTTCCAAGACCTACAGGTTGAGTCGGCAAGTTGGAGACCCAGGAGAGCCAGTGGTCTAGTTCCAAAGACCAGCAGGTTCAAGCCCCAGGAAGAGCCAGTGTTTCAGTTTGAGTCTGATGGCAGGAAAAACCTATGTCCCAGTTTGAAGGCAGTCAGGCAGGAGGAACTCTCTCTTACCTGGGGGAGAGTCAGCCTTTTTGTTGTCAGGTCTTCAGCTGATTGGGGAGGCCTACCCACGTTCGCAAGGGCAATCTGCTTTACTTACACTACCATTTTAAATGTTTATCTCATCCAAAAACACCCACACAGAAACACCCAGAACAATGTGCGGCCAAATACATGGGCACCCCATGGTCCAGTCAAGTTGACACATAAAATAAGCCATCAAAAGTCCATACTTTGTCAACTTCATCTCCTTAAATTCGTAATCCGATTTGACTGGTGTCCTTATAAGGAAAAGAAATTTGGACACACACAAAAAGACACTAGGGGGCTTCCCTGGTGGCGCAGTGGTTGAGAGTCCGCCTGCCAATGCAGGGGACATGGGTTTGTGCCCCGGTCCGGGAAGATCCCACATGCCGCGGAGCGGCTGGGCTCGTGAGCCGTGGCTGCTGAGCCTGCGCGTCTGGAGCCTGTGCTCCACAACGGGAGAGGCCACAGCAGTGAGAGGCCCGCGTATCGCAAAAAAAAAAAAAAAAAGACACTAGGGATGCATATGGACAGAGGAAAGACTACATAAGCACACAGCAAGAGGATGGCCATCTGCGAGCCAAGGAGAGAGGCCTCAGGAGAAACCAGTCCTGCTGACACCTTGATCCCGGACTTCAGCCTCCACACTGTGAGAATATAAACGTCTGCTGTTTAAGTCACCGAGTCCGTGGTATTTTGTTACGGCAGCCCTGGCAAATAAATACACTCTCTTCCAAACAAGGGATGTTCCCATCCCCTGAGAGGACTTCTTACTCATTTCTTTTTCTCTCAGATACTTTCTATGCTTATGACCTTTTGCTATAGATTGCATGTTTGTGTCCTCCCAGAATTCTCGTGTTGAAACATAATCCCCAAGGTGATGGTGTTAGGAGGCAGGGCCTTTGAGAGGTGATTAAGTCATGAGCATGGAGCCCTCATTATTAGGATTTGTTCTCTTAGAAAAGAGGCCCCAGAGAGCTAGGTTGTCCCTTCTACCATGTGATGACACAGTGAGAGGTGACCACCTGCAAACCAGGAAGAAGGCCTTCCCCAGAACCCAACCATGCCGGCACCCTGATCTTGGAGTCCCGGCCTCCAGAACTGTGAGAAATGTCTGTGGTTTATAAGCCACCCAGTCTTTGGTATTTTGTTATAGCAGCCCCAAGGGACAGGTCCTCACCATTTCTGAAAAGTCAGGGGAGAGGCCTGGCTTGTGTGCTTCCGGATCACAGGGAAAATGAGGTTCAGAGAGCTTGGGGCTTCCTCATTAGCAACCATTTCAGTGGGTGGGTCTAGAAACTCTGTTCTCAGAGCCCAGCCCACCGGCCTAGAAGGTGTCTGTGTGAATTTGCCTGGCGCGGTGAGCAGGCAGTGGAGGAAGGTGGCCTTGGCAAGCATGCTTATGAGAGCTGGATTCCACCCTCCCCTCACGTTTGGCCTTGTGCACACACTGCAGCCCCATGCTACGCCACCTCCTCTGGGCCTCTCTGTCCACTCAGGCTGGCGCATCATCGTGTGGACACCCTCACTCACCACACCCTGCAGAGGAGCGAAGTATGGAGCCCCTGGGAGGCAGCATGTCTATCTCAGTGGATATGCAGTGAGCAACCAGGGAAAAAGGTCGTTTATACTCGTACGTGTGTCTGCAATATTTACATTCTGTGATGACAGTTTTTCCTCTTCAGGAGGAAGCTGAGAAAATGAGTGACAGTTTCTCTGTGTCCAACAGCTTTTTGGACTGAGTCCAGAAAATGAATCACGTGAAGATGCGGCTCTAGCACTTCTAGGCCAGGCCAGCAGGGCCAGCAGAGGAGAGGCAGGGAGCCCAGGTCAAGGTGAGGGCGAGTATAGGTCATCCTGGGGGGTCTGAATGTTTGACCCCTTCAGGAGCAAAGCTCCTTGACCAGTCAGTTAGCATCCATTGTGTGTGGGACCACCCACGGGGGGGCCTGCAAAGATGCCCTCGGCCTCTTACAGTACAGATAGGGAGATCTGGTGAGGACCAAATGAATGCCACAGATCATTTCTAGGAGAGGGAGGCCTGAGGGGAAGGGATGATCATTCCAATCAACACCCCAGTCCTGGCTGATAACCCTACAGGTGGGTAATAGTATCCCTGATCCCTGGTTGGGGACTGTGTTTCCACCGTGTCCCCCCCTGAACATGACCATCATACAATTTCTTTCATTCTCTTATGTTCTTTTTTTGGGGGGCAGCGCCTCATGCAGCTTGTGGGATCTTAGTTCCCCAACCAGGGATCGAACCCGGGCCCTCGGCAGTGAGAGCGCAGAGTCCTCACCACTGGACCACCAGGGAATTCCCATTCTCTCATGTTTTTCACGGTGGTGGTTCTCGTGGGCACCGCCCCCAGCTGACTCTGGCATTCTCCAGGACAGAAGTGAGGCTGGGTCTCTTTGCCTGTTGCTGAAATCTGTTTGGCACACGGTGGGCACTCCACTGCTGTCGTTGAATTTCACACTGTAGGAGAGACTCTGTACGTCTCAGGATGGCCCCCAGCAAACAGGCCTGCCAAGGCAGTTGCAGGTGTGAGTCCCGCCTGGAGCAGAATTAAAGCTGGGCAAAACTAGGTTTGGGAGGATTGGAAACTTGGATAAGGACTTGCTTTGGCTTTCAAGCATTGCCTTGCCAGGTGTGTAAAAGCCACGTAGTCCCCTGGTGGAAATAATGTTTTGGGACAAGAGCCCAAGGCTGGGGGCCCTGGAGAGTCCAGTCCCACAAAGGAACGGCCCAGCCTCACATCAGTGGGTCCCGAGATTTTCTCAGTCAGGCTAGGCTGGATCATGGTGCAGTAAGAAACAGCCCCAACTCTCAGTGGCTTAAACAGCAAAAGTTTATTTCTTGCTCATACCACTTAGCCACTGCAGGTCAGTGCGGTAGGCATGTCCTGTTCTTTGTAGTCTCTTAGAAACCTGGGCTGGTGAAAGGGGCTCCATCTTGAGGTAAGGCCATCTGCACCCAAGTGCTTAAAAGCTGGAAGCAGTCCTCAACACTTCAGCTCGCATTCCACTGGCCAAAGCCAACTAAACCTAACTTCCCGGCTGACTGGGATCACGAGGAAGTGACAAGGTGCTCAGAGGAGGAAAAACAATACTCGCAAACCCCTAAGACGACTGCAGAGGGGAAACTGGCTGGTGGAGGAGGAGGGCTTGTTCTGGCTGCAGACCTCCTCTCCACCCAGACCGAGCCGGACGCGGGGACAGAGCCCACCTGTGGAGCTCTTGGCACCCCAGCAAGCTTTACCTTCCCAAAGCTTTCTCGTCAGGCTGTGAAATCAAGCTTAAGACACTCCACAGCCCTGGTCATTCTAACCTCATGATGGTGGTCATCAGGACCGGGGTTTAAAAAACCTTCAGGAGGGGCTTCCCTGGTGGTGCAGTGGTTAAGAATCCGCCTGCCAATGCAGGGGATACGGGTTCGTGCCCTGGTCTGGGAAGATCCCACATGCCACGGAGCAACTAAGCCCGCGTGCCACAACTGCTGAGCCTGCGCTCTGAAGCCCGGGAGCCACCACTGCTGAAGCCAACGTGCTGCAACTACTGAAGCCCACACGCCTAGAGCCCATGCTCCGCAACAAGAGAAGCCTCCGCGTGAGAAGCCTGCACACCTCAACGAAGAGTAGCCCCTGCTCGCTGCAACTAGAGAAAGCCCACATGCAGCAACAAAGACCCAAGGCAGCCAAAAATAAATAAATAAATGGATTTATTTTTTTTTAAAAAAAACAACCTTCAGCAGCCAAAGGGCTTTTGGTGTTATTGTTGGATTTTCAGGAACTAAGGAATAAAAAGGTGAAGTGAGGACAGAAACACAGTTTAAAACAAAAGCGAAGATGCCTCTGCCTCTGCCAGGAGTGTTGGACAAATACAAACAGGGCTGGGCTGCAGGGAGATGCCCTCTGCAGAGCACGACTCGGGATGCCATGTACATCAGGATTCAGAGGCCACCAGGAGGAAGGATTGTCCCTCCAGCCTCCGCAGCAAAGGCAAAGCTTCTGAGCCGGAGAAGGGCAACAGGAAGACATTTGCTGAGACGACTTGGTGGCGGGGGAGGACATGGAAACCGAAAGACATGTGTGGGGCTTTTGCCCCTGCTTCTCTTGGACTGAAACAGCCCGAGTCACATCCCTCGCCCCAGCCATACAGCCTCGTTCCTTAGGTCTTGGGTTACCTGTCGCTTCTCTGGGAAGTGTCCCCTGGCCTCCCAAGCTGGCTGGCTGGCCCTCCTTTGTGCTCCCTCAGCATCCTGTGTTCTTTCTACACCAGCAACGCTGTGGCCTTAGCATCTATTACCACCCCAGCAACAAGCAGGACGTGCTGTGACCCTGAGAAGGAAAGAATGATGAGACTGGTGAGGGGCCTGGATCTGGAGGTAGCTGACTATGCCTGGGAGCTGCAAGGTCAATGCGGGATCCTCATTGGTCGCTCGAGGCTTCCTGAAGCACTGCTGCAGGGCCGTTCCCAGATCTGACAACTCAAACCCCTGGGTTCCAGCCCAGACTCCAGGGACCTCCAGGCCAGCCCAAGGCTCTTCAGAGCAAAAACCTGAGCTGCCAAACTGCCTTGTCCATCTCCATCCCCTAGATGCCTTGGTTTGCTCCACCCTTGGTGGCCACCCTTTCAACCAGCCACACATAACTTACAGTGGCAGGTTCTGGGGCCTCATCCCTAATTCATCAGGCCAGGGATACTCTAGTATTATGCTCTTCCAGGGAGGAGGAGTTTCCCTCCCCTCCCAGAAACATCTAGAATGTCCCCATACTTACTCCTGAATCTGTCTCTCCAGAATCTCTGGGGAGCAGACCACCCCTGGGCACTGGGACACAGGAGTACCTTGGTCACACCCACCCCCTGCCTCTCAGTGCCTCAGTTTATCCATATGTAAAACTTGGGCTGCATCAGCCCCTTCTCACATTACAGAGATTTGGAAAATGTTAATATGAAAGCACTGGCTGCTCTTTGGAGAAAGGGGCTCTATTTTCATGATTTTGTCTTCTAGCTCCCTGCCCGCCACCTCCCTGGAAACTTCTGGAATGTGCTGCATAGGCCATACTAGAGAGGGGAACCCAGGGAAGTGTGGGGGTCAGCAAGCGAACGGTCTGAGGCCTGGGAACATTCAAACACAGGCAACGGTTTTGTCCAAGTGCCTTTAGTTCAAAGGGCCACTGGTTAAAGTAGGCTCCTTGAGCCAGAAACTCCAAGAATGCCCAGCTTTGGCCCTGGGGAGGTCAGCTGGAGGAAGGGACCCTTCAGAAATTCGGGGAGGCCTGTAGAAAGGGCCTCCAGGTGTGGGCCACCCTGGGCACCAGGCCAAGCTGCTCGACCTGCAGCCGCATAGGCCTGTAGCCGTTGAGGTTGCTGTAGAGAGCAAACAGGCCATCATGGGGCCTCGGGGAGAAGTGGGCCTGTGAGGTCAGGGCCCTCCAAGGGCCATGATAGGGCTGGAACCTGGGGGCCAGAGGTGGGTTTGGGGCCAGGGGGCTGCCGGGCCCCGAGGATGTGGACAGACTCCGGTTCTGGGGGTTGCTGCCTGTCGACAGGCTGCTGAAGGGGTTGGAGGACGTGCCGTCGCTGGTGGAGCAGCTACTGCCACTGAGGCGGCCGGATCGGGGGTCAGGGGCTGCTCTGGGCTGGAGGGGTGCGGCCGGCCTGGGCGACTTGAGGCCCATCACGGGCTTGGAGGAGGCGTAGAGGTGGCAGAACTCCTCGTCAAACAGCTCCACCGCCTGGCCCGTGAACTTGGAGAGGATGTTCCTGTGCACGTGCCCACAGAGCCAGGTGAAGCTGGAGGCGAGAGAAGAGAGAGTGAGGGCTGGGGATGGGGAGGGCTCGGGCACCCTGCGCCTGAAGGGCCACTAACGCGTGCCCACCGCTTCTCCGTGCCGGCTGCTTCCACCCAGGCCCAAACCCTCCCCTCCCACAGATGGGAGAACTGAAGCTCAGAGACCAGCAAATGTTTCCAGGGGAGTAGCTAAGATGCAGAGTGAATCCGGGCCTCCGGTCAGTGTTCCCTCCTGGTGCGCAGATTATGGCCCCTTAGAAGATCCCTGTGGAGGCCCAAAGGGGCCGAGTTCCAGTGTCCCCAATTCTGTGCTGATGTGAGTCACCAGCTGCTGGGGCCTTAGCGGCTCCACCGGTGATAGGTGTGACACCTGCCTCTTCTAACCAAATAGGTTAGCAGTCTGGGGCTGCTCCTTGGAAGGAAGGGCTGTATTTCCATGAAAATCTGAAGGGTGTAGCCCAGTTTTCAGGCAAATGGGCCGGAAGGGGTGCGAGTGGGGGGAAGACTCCTGTGCTCTTTGGGGGATGGAAAGGAGAACACAGGGGTGAGCCCACAGGATGGGAAAGATGCCGCATCAGTGGGCTTGCCCAGACACCCACGGGAGGCCGCCCTTAAGCAGAGGCCTTGGCCTTCTCTCCATTTACACATTTTAAATGGAAACAAAATGTTCAAGGCATTTGTGTGTCATTTTTATGATTCCCTAATTTAAACAGATTCCTTTCTATCTCTGATGGGAAACTCCCCTCATCACCCCACTCCCCGCAAAAAAGCCTGGCGGCAGCGCAGGAAACCCACCAAGAACATCATTTGAGAGGTTCCTGGGTCCCTAACACTGTGGACCTAGGCGTGGGGAGCAATGGGGACAGCATGGTCAGAGGGGGACAGGGTCACTGTGGGGGACAGAAAGGACCCAACCAAGAGTCTCAGCCTCCAGCCCCCAGCCCCCAGCCCCCAGCCCGCGTGTCTTGCCACCAAAAGGCGGACCCAGCTTCTGGAGTCCCCTGCTCTGTGAGGCAGGGCAGGGCCCATGCAAGGCCGGAGCAATCCTGGGAAGAGCAGCGAGGCTTTGTTTAAACCTCACCTCCTGCCCAGGAGCCACCCACGCACCCCAGAGAGGTGAGCAGCTGATACCGTGCCTCTGGCCAACCAGGTGACGGGGAAGGCAGCAAACTCTGGGACAGCCGGACTCTTGGCTACACAAAGAAATCAATCGCCCTGTGTTCTTTGGAATCAGGCTAGATTAGAACAAGCAACTGCATGCTTTCTTAACAAAGCAGGTCTAGGGGACTTCCCTGGCGGTCCAGTGGTTGAGACACTCTGCACTTCCACTCCAGGGGTCATGGGTTCGATCCTTGGTCAGGGAAAGAGGATCCCTCCCGCCACATGCCCCCCCCCAAAAAAAAGGCAGGTCCAAAGGTGCCCTGGCAGTGTTTCAGGCCCCCATGCACCCTCTGTGCCCCTGTGCCCCTTGTGTATCCCTGCACTACCTGAGTGCCATCCCCTGACCCTGCTCGCTGCTCATGGGTTTCCCTCCTCTACACCCGACATGTCCATTCATCCTGTGCTCTAGCTTTTACACTTTCTTTTATCACCACCCATGGTAAGAATTACATTTTATTTTTATTGTTTTTTTGGCCCTTAAGTACAGATAGTTGATTTAATCATAATTTTTGGCTCAAGACCCACTCTCATCATTGATCTATTAATGGCCCATTTACATTTCTGCAGCTTTATTTTATTTTTTGGCCACACCAAGTGGCTTGTGGGATCTTAGTTCCCCGGACAGGGATTGAACCCGGGCTCTTGGCAGTGAAAGTGCACAGTCCTAACCACTGGACCGCCAGGGAAATCCCTTTACTTAGTTATTTAAAATAATTTAATAAGCACCTATGAACCCATCACCTAAAATAAAAAGCTAGCATTGACAATAACCAGCATCTAATCACATGGTTCCCTCCTAGGAACCCATCCAGTTTCCCCCAAATAGAGGAAATCATCACCCAGAATCCTGTGTCATGGTTCCCAAACTTTCCTTTTTCTATAGTAAAAAAAAGTTTTCTATACTCTTGAAAGTACCGTCATATACTTCCAAGCAGCCGTCCATATACTCGAGTTCTGCATCCAGCGATTCAACCAACCACAGATGGAAAATATTCAGAAAAAAATTTTCCAGAAACTTTCAAAAGGCAAGACTTGAATTTGCCCCATTGGCAGCTATTTACATAGTATTTACATTGTATTAGGTATTATAAGTAATCTAGAGATGATTTAAAGTTTTCAGGAGGATATGGGTAAGTTATATGCAAATACTACACCATTTTATATAAGGCACTCGAGCATCCTCAGATTTTGGTATCTGTGGGGATGCTAGAACCAATCCCCCACAGATGCGGAGGAACAACCGTAAATATTTCTATTTTAGTTGTTTTTAACATATATCTTTGGGGATTAATCTTTGGGGCTTTTTTTTCACTTAAACATTGCAGTTTATCCATGTTATCTCTTGTTGCTGTACTTCACTTGTCTTTGACTGTTGTATGATATTCCACTGGGGGCTATATCATGGTGTATTCATACATTCTCTCATTGAGAGGCATTTGGGTTGTTTCCATGGTTCTCCTGTTGTGACCAATGCTTCTGTGAACACTCTTATACCTGTCTTCTACTGTCCTGTGGACCCGTTTCTCTTGGAAATACACTTAGGAGTGGAATTGCTGGATAAAGCTAGGTGAATGTTCAGCTTTAGAGAAAATGCCATACTCTTTCCCAAGTCACTGTACCGATTTGCAATCCCATCAGCAGTGTAGAGATTTGTAAATGCACTCTTTGTACTGTCAGGCTTCTTACTGGCTGGCCAGAAGTTTGTTCAGCTTTTTCTGTAAGATGCTATGGAAAAACCTAAATGAACTTTTTGGCCAACCCAATTTTTTTTTTTTTTTTTTTTTTTTTTTTTTTTGCTGAATAGGTATAAAATGGTTAACTCATTCTAGCCTTGATTTGCATTTTGCTGGTCACTGAGGATGCTGAACATCTTTTCGTGTGTTTCCTCCCCGTGAAACGCCTGCTCTCACCTCCCCCCCCCCACTTCCATTGTGCTGTTTCTTTTGTGGTTTGTGGGAGTTCATTGTGATTCTTGACACTAATCTTGTCAGGGCATCATGAAAACCTGCTCCCAGTTTGTAATCTGACTTTTCACATTCTTTGAGCTGTCTTTGAGGGAACCAGAGTTCTTAATTGTAATACAGTCAGATTTAGCAATCTTTTATAGCTAATGCTTTTTTGTGTTCTGTTTAACACGGGGGGGCTATGTTAAGACACCTAATCCTTATCCTAAGGTCTAAAAGACATTCGTCTGTATTTTCTACTAAGAGTCTTAAAATTTGTTTTTGACATTTAAGTTCTTTTAATCTATTAGGAGGCGATTTTGTGTGTGTGCATCGCATGTGTGCGTATGTATGTGTGAAGTAGAATCCAACTTCTCACATGGAGAATTTTTTTTTCCGGTTTCACCTTTCCCCGCTGCTCTGACATGCCCTGTCATGTGGGAGTCTGTGTCTGGGCTTTCTGTTCTGTTCCATTTGTCACTTTGTGTGTGTCCTTCACCCAATGCCACATTGTCTTGGTTACTACAGCTCCATCTGCAAGGGCAAGTCCGCCCTGCCTGTTCTTCTTCAGACTCATCTTGGCTATTCTTGGAGAAATACATCTTATTGATACACTGTAACCTCCTCACATACACAGATACATACATAACCTCACAACAATCTCCAGAACATCCTTTACCTCAGTGCTCTGATTACTTTTGTTCTGTCCTATTTCATTTTTGAAGAATTCTGGGGATCATCCACTAAATCAATTTCATAGACAGGGATGCACAGTTTCAAAAGTTGTATTCCTCTAGCCATACTGGATGGCCAGGACCTAACATGAACATCCATTCATTCAACAAATATTTATGGTCATGTATAAACATACCGCCACTGTATTAACTGTACTTCCTGCCAGGAAGCAATAGAAAAGAAAACAGACCCAGCTCAGGCCCCGACGTCATCTTTCTTAAATCTTGGCTAAACAAGTTCACAGAAAAGGTCTCTAGGGAATGATCTGGATGCTGCCTCCGGCAAGATGAGTTAGCACGGTAAGGACAACAGGATTGAGCTGTCCAGCAAAGGGAATAAACGGCAAGTGTAAAGACCCTGAGGCATGAAAGGCCTGGGGGGAGGCCAGTGTGGCTGCAGCACAGAGGAGGGGAAGGAGAATCCTGCTAAGACAGAGGCCGCAGTAAGAAGGTGGATTTTTTTTTCCCCCCTAGGAGCAATGACATGCATCGAAGGATTTTAAGGATGGAAGTGATTTGATCTTGTTTGTGTTTAAAAATCTTTCTGTTCCTGGTAAAGCCCAGGGTGGCAGCAGGGGTCAGGGCAGGAGTGGACTCAGGAGCCGGTTGGAAGGCCATGCTGATATCATGCTGTCACTCATGCTGTTGCAGCTGCCTGATTTTGCACCTCACCCCCGCCCCAATCTTCTTCATCCTCCAAGCCTCAATCCAGCCCCCTGGACCTGCCGGCAGAAGTGGGAGCTCCCTCCTGGCTGACCCCAGAGCACTTTCTTAGCTCATGCTGATCTTAGAGCACACACCATACCACACCCTGTGGTCATTCATCTACATTTCCTAAGGAGAGAGAGGAGTTCTGTGTCCCCAGCATGTGGCACAGCCCCTGTGCTAGTGAGACCCTCAACAAGAGCTGAAATGTTGAAATGCACACCCTCCCCACTCCCACCCCCGCGACTCAGCCAGAGAAATGGACAGAGCCCTTCAGTTTGGGAAAACTGTGTGCAACCAGAGGGAGGGACCCAGAGACAGGTGGACTGAAAGGATGGGGTGAAGGCTTTTCTGATTGATTTTTTGTTTTTATTGGAAACGGCTCTAAGGGTCCCAGGGAAAAGGATCCTCTGAAAGGCTGGCAAACAGATCACCTTTGAATGTTGAGAGCAAAAACATTATAGTTGTCCTGCCCTCCCTTCAGAAGCTGGATTCTCCACAGTTCCCAGGAATGGCCCGGCATGTCTTCAAGCCCACTGCCACCCTCCTCCTGGTACCTCCCATATCAAGCCCGACCTGGCCTCGGCAGGCGCTAACGAGCTGGAGATCCTAGTCAAGGAAGCTGGTGACCCTGACCCAATCACCTACCCTCTCTGTGCCTCAGTTCCCATCTGTCATTTAGAAGAATAATGCCTCCCTCAAAGTGTCACGAGGATTAAGGGACTTCCCTGGCTGTCCAGTGGTTAGGACTCTGCACTTCCACTGCAGGGGGCCTGGGTTTGCTCCCTGGTTGGGGAGCTAAGATCCCGCATGCCATGTGGCAAGCCAAAAAAAAAAAAAAAAAAAGAAGTCACGAAGATTAAATCCTTACTAAAGGTCTGATCGCACCTGGCCCAGGGCCTGGCACAAAGCTCAGCAAGGTGGTTATGCTTCCTTCTGCCCCTTCCAAGGGCAAGGCCACCCCTGCATGATGAGCTCAAAGGGCAAATACAAATGAAACCTGAGAGAGTTAATTCTCCTTATTGAAAATAAGAGGAGAGGCTTCCCCCCTCTTCATCTCCTTTCAGAATTTCTTTCTCTGTCCTTTTCAAATGTATGGAAATCTTTGTAATGGCTAAATAAGCCACTTGCCAGTCACACAACTGGTTGCTCAAAGATGGGGAAGGGGAAGTGACCGCTGAGTGGTGGAGGGGCTGTGGATGTGTCATCCCCACGTCTGTGTATGCCGCTCTGACAAAAGACGTCATTTTGAGCTGAAGGAATTTGAGAAGCAGGTGCAGGAAGGACTCTCTGACCTCCCCCTTCTCCCTGAAGCCAGTCACAAGGCCCTCATGTGAGAGATGCCCTCCCTGTACCCAGAGGAAAGGAGCATCCTTATCTCCAAGGGCAGGGGGACTCAGAGGGATCCGAATGGACCAGCCTTGCTCCGTTTCCCCCAGTAACTACCCTTAGCTCTTCCCTTTCGTCCTATCACGTTTTACCGTGACTGTCCGTTCTTCATCCAACCTCATATAAAAACACTAAGGTTTAACCATTTCTTTGGGTCTTCATTTCCTTTTGAAGGCTCCTGTGTCATGTAAAACTTGTATTAAATAGATTTGTCTGCTTTTCTGCTGTTCATCTCTCTCTCACCAGTCCATTTTACAGGGCCCCAGCCAGAGAACCGAGAAGGGTATTAGAAAAAAGTGTTTCCTGGGACTTCCTTGGTGGTCCAGTGGTGGCACGGGACCACTGCGCTTCCACTGCAGGGAGCACGGGTTCGATCCCTGGTCAGGGAACTAAGGTCCCACAAGCTGTGTAGCCGAAAAAGAAAAGAGTTTTTCCTCCCTGTACAATGGGTGCGTGGTTTCTTTGGGGGGCAATGAAAGTGTTTTGGAACTAGATAGTGGTGATGGTTGCACACACTGTGAATGTACTACATGCCTCTGAATTGTACATTTTAAATGGTTAATTTATGTTATCGTGAATTTCACCTAATAAAAAAGAGTGTGAGAATTCCTCTGCTTTGACTGACCCCCTCCCTCCAGGCTTAGCTCCTGGGGTCTGGGGCAACTGCCCAGGCCCGGACCTCACCCTTGCCCTCCAGGTGGTGAACTCGGTCTAGTGGTGCTTGGTCAAGGTCAGAGGTCAAGGTCAGAGGCCTGATGTAGGGTTTTAGGCTGAGCTCCTGCCCTGAGCTTTATTTGCTTGCTGCCCAGAGGCCTTTGTCCCTCTCTAGGGAAAGAACAAAAGGCTGATAAGGTGGCTTTGGCCACTTGGGGAGGGGAGTTCAGCCCCACCTCAGCCTCTTACAGACAACCAAGGGCTGGAGACAGGGCCTGAGAATCAGAAGCAGGGGGGCTCCGTTTTCCACAGGTGCCCCCGGATGGAGCAGAGGATGAGGGGAGAGGCTGTGGGTGGAAACAGACGTGGGCTCAGTGGCCCCAGGACACTGGAGGTGTCCCCTCCGGGCTGCCTCGTCCCTGAGCCCCCTCCCTGAACACTAGTTGTAAAACCTCAGCTCTTCCCCTCGCAGAGGGACAGTGCCTCCCAGCTTCCTTTACTGCAGCCTGTGAGGTGGAGGCCACAGGCCCTTCACACAGCTGAGGAGAACAAGCTCAGGAAGAGGTGGAAATGGGGAGCCAGAGAGGGGCACCCTGGCGCCATCCCAGGCCCCCTTCCCTCCCCTGGGTTTGTTATCGGTTACCCGCCTAGTTCGAGCAGAGCTGCAGGAGGGAGCCCCATCCTGTTCCATGCCTGCAGCAGGCCTGGTCTGTATCTACTAGGTCTCTACATAGCTGGTGAGTGAATGAAGGAACACAGAGGTGCAGTGACTTGCCCGGGGTCACCCAGCCAGGAAGCTTCAGAGCTGGGAACTGAGCTTATCTATCTTCTAGGCTGGGCTGCTGCCACTTCCCGTCCCTAGTGCCAGCCTGAGGTCCCATGAAATTTGGAGACACTTCTGACAGGGAAGTGGAGGAGGGGCCAGGAAGCTGGTGGTCAGGGGCCACAGAGGGTGACGCTTGTAATCTTATCTAGGACATGGTGACAGCTCAGCAAGCCCTGGCAATTCTGAAGTGAGAGGAGGGCTGTCTCGGTGCTCCCCACATTGGCGTCGCCCAGGCCTGCTCTGCTGGGCAGCCCTTCACAACCAGCGTCTTCTCAGCCCACACCCTTTCAAGTCTTGCCTATTACATGTCCCTTCCCTTGGGGCTTTGGCTGGCTGATAGCAACCACTTATTGAGTACCTACTGTGTGCTGGGAGCTACACTACGCTTTGCAAATTTTATCTCGTTGAGTCTTAACAATAGTCTGCGAGGGGAAGTATTGTTATCCCCATTTTACGGATGAGAAAAGTGATGCTAAAAAGAATTGCACACTTTAAATGGGTGAAGTATCTGACATGTGAATTACATCTCAATACATTCACTATATTAAAATAACCAAACATTTAAAAAATAAAATGGGGCCCCCATACACAACCAAACAAATTGCATGGCTTTAGAATCACACCTGAGAGATCTGAGGAGGGAAACAGGATTTTATGTCCTATTGCCACGCAAAGGGAAACCAAGGCACTTGGAAGTGTCTCCCTACCCCGAAGTCCTCCCAGGAAGGGCCCAGATTTTCCCCTTTCACCCAGGCTGGTCCTGCCTCCAGCCTCGTGTATATGATGAGTCCCCAGCTCCCCCAGGGCGTTGCCGGTGGGCGTGTGGGCCTTGGCCTCCGCAAAGCCCCGACAGAAGGTGAAGCGCAGCGCTCACCTGTACGATCCGCACAGGACGTATCTCCAGTCCGAGATGATGAACTTGTCCTGGATTTGGCCGGCGAACTTCCTGCCTGACTTGGCGCAGTACACCTCTCCTTCCACGCTCCGGACGGAAACGCTCTGTTGCAAAAGGGAAGTCAAGGTATCCTCGCTAATTGTGTGCGCAGAGATATACACTTGCCTAAGAAAACACCTGGAAGTATGCTCGCCAAGAGTAAAAGGGTTATTGCTAGCTGGTGAGATTGTGGGCCATTGTTATGTTTTCCTTGGCTGAATTTTCTAAATTTTCTTCAATGTCCTGACATTATTTGAGTAATGGGGGAAAAAAAAAAAGAAAAAGAAAAGAAAAGAAAGGGGAGATGGTAGAATTAAAACAAAGCAGAAAGTAGAAGGAAGATGCGGGCCTGGTGTCCACAGAGCCCTCAGTCCAGGCTCCCATGGCCCACAGAGGTCTGGCAAGCCCAGCCTCACCCTGTAAGTGGCTTTAGTGACATGAGTCCCTGACTCCAGGTTGGTCAGAGGGAAGGCCCAGTGCAATCAGAGGGGGTGGCTTTGTGGAGACCTCAGTGGACCCTAGATTGCTGTAAGAAAAGGTGTGGCCACAACCCAAATTGTGGCCCTGTTTGTCCCTTTCCTCCCCAGTGGCACCCACTGCTCCAGCCCTCAAGCCAGCACCCCTGGAAGCTGAAGAAATGAAAGGCAGGTGAGGCAGGGGGCTGTCAGAGGCCGGCGGGACGCTCCTGGTGCCGAGAATGCCTGCTGGTAGCTGGAGGGGCTCTGGGAAGGGGATGCCCAGTGCCTCCAACCACTCCTTCCAGCCTCTCCACAAGCTCTGGGGGTGGCGGGAACAGGGCCACGTCCCACTGTCCCTTGGTGCAGCGGGTGTGGGCCACGAGGACAAGGCCTGCACTGACTCTCTGGACCTGTTTCAATGGCCTCATGCTGAGGCCGTGTGATCCACGTTACATCAAGCAGACCCAGCAGTCGGGGGACCTGAGGCCTGTGGCGACCGGAGGTGCCTGGACTCAGCTGCATCCCGGTCAGTGTGGAGGGGAAGGGAAGGAGGAAGGCGGGGAGGTTGGGGTCTCCCGGGACTGACCTGCCTGAGCTGGGGGGCAGTCACCAAGGAAACCACCTGTCAGCTGTTTAGCTGGGTCTGCTTGTGAAAGCTGTGGGCGGTTTCACGTTAGAGCTTGAATTAGCTGCCCCAAATTTGCCGTGACTAAGTGAACCCTCATCTCTGGGTTTCCCTTCTCCTTGCTGGAAGAAGGAAGTGAGGAGTTTGGTTAAGTCCAAGAGGATCAGCATCCTGTTGGGGCCATGGAGCCCTAAAGATGCATCACACAGGTCCTGGATGTCTCACTGCCCCAGAAGTGCACCCACTGGGTCTCCTCAGCTGAGAGGAGAAAAGGCAGAGGTCGGGCCCCTTTATCCTTCCCAGCCCCCAGTGGAGCTGTGTGAGGTCAAAGGACTATGAGCGGGAATGATGGAAATCTCTTCCAGGCCAGGTCCTAAAAACATCCCTCGGAATCCTCCCTCCCTCTCTCTCCCTGTCACTATGTCTTGGGGGCCGTGTATTCCTTGTGGTGCAGCTACAAGGTGAGGGATGGCCGTCTGAACTGGACTTTGAACAAGAAAGGAATGTGTGTTAAGCCATTGAGATGGAGGCATGCATTACCACAGCGTAGCCTATTCTATCCTAACACAAAATACCTTTTACACTGTCACGGGACCCTACCTTGAGGTGACTGTCAGAGATCTGGGCTTTGTCACACATCTCCCGGAAGAGCTTCACGCCTCCCTGGTCCAGGAGCACACAGACGAACACCCCGCGCTTGTTGGCCGCCTCTAGGATGTCACAGAAGATCTCCACGTCTGTGAACACATCCATCAGGATGGCCAGGACCTGGGCCAGGGCAGAGGGGTCGGACACCAGAGAGTCAGGGCCAGGTGCTGACTTCTTTCAGCCAAACCCCCTCAGTCCCAGCTGGCCTGGGAGAGCTGTTCCCTTTGCTGCTGCGCTGGAGCGGGGAGGGTCTGACAGGGCAGGACTCAAGGAGGGGTGCAGAGCTGCAGTGCAGGCCCTGCCTCTGTCCTGACGTCATCTTTCCAGCCCCACCACAGATCCTCTGGCCCCTCCACCCACTGCTGGCAGAGGAGAAAAGGGGAGATGAGCAAAAAGATGAGGCGGGGGTGGGGTGGGGGGGAGATGAGGCCAAGGGGAGGTGGCCTGGCAGGGTCACAGGAGAGGGACAGATTTAAAGTCACAGGTTCTCAAACATTTGGAGCTTTAAGACACTCTAGGCCCACTGGCTTTCAAATGTTTTTCAGTGGAATCCTCGCCTCAAACAAAATCCCTGTGGAGACCCCAGGGGTTATAAACTAGACTAGGCTGAGCTACCCCAGTGGGATGGAGAAGGGAGTCCAGCTCAGCCAGCAGGTACTGCATCCTCCATCATAGCAGAAACTTGGGGGGTGGGGGGCCCTAGATAGCCAACAACGGGGAGAGACGTGTGTGTTCCTGCCTGCCAGGCACCCCTCCTTCCTGCCAACAGCACCCCGAGCTCACTTTATTTTATTTTTGGCCTACACCGTGCGACTTGTGGGATCTTAGTTACCCAGCCAGGGATAGACCCCGGGCCCCCTGCAGCGGAAGCGCCCATTCCTAACCACTGGACCGCCAGGGAACTCCCCCAAGCTCAATTACCTCTGCTCCACCATGCATGTGCTTTGGGTGGGGTTACTGCCGTGCCCTGGATTGGGTGCGGGGGAGGCACACTGAAGCCAGACCACTGGCCACAGGGATTGGCCCAAATGTGGTCACATGACATGTTATCCTCATGGGAGTCAACCCAGGACTATTGCTGGGACTCCTGGGGAAAGGAGGCATTCCTTCTACCGGGATTGCTTAGCTAGTAGATTATAAACTACAGCTGCTGGCAGCCATCTTGCTCCATGTGGGGACAGCTTGCCTGAAAGCAAAGCCGGATCTGGAGAAACCAGGGCTAAGAGGTGGAGACAGATGCCCAGCAGCATCCTTTCGACATCTGATTTCAGTTACCCCTGAAGCCAATCCTATGCTTGACTTGTCCACTGAGGATGCCAATGCATGGTCCCCTTCTTAAGCTTTTTGGGGTTACTTTCTGTGATGTTGTGACTTATAATAAGAAATGTATATTTGGTCTTCATATCAGTTTCTGGCACAGAGCTCCTAATACCCTGGGAATTTCCAACCTGATGAGAGCTGAGAGCAATAAAGGGGTCTTTTGTTATGTTAATGAGGAGACTTTCAGACCTAAGGGCATTGGCACTTAAGGATGTGGAGCTCTTTGCCAGGAGGACCAACCTTGTGATCAGAGGGTTGGAACTTTTAGTCTAACCCCACAGCCTCTGGTGGAGAAGGGAGGAGCTGGAGGTTTATCAGTCACCAGTGGCCAATGATTTGATCAATCATGTCTATGTAATGAAGCTCCATAAACACCCAGAAGGAGAGGGTTCAGAAAGCATCTCGTTGTTGGACACGTGAGGGTTTAGGGAGATTGGTGCACTCAGAGAGATGCACTATGCATCTCTTCCCTCTGGCTGTTCCTGAGTTATATCCTTTTATAATAAACCGGTACTCTATTAAGGAAAATGTTTCTCTGACTGCTCTCAGCCACTCTAGCAAATTGATCAAACCCAAGGAGGGTGTTGTTGGAATCTCTAATCCGTCGCTAGTTGGTCAGAAGCACAGGTGACAGTCTCGGCTTGCGATTGGTGTGAGTTGAGTTGTAGGACACCCAGCTGATGTCCGAGAATTGCTTGGTGCTGTGGGAAAGGCTCCCACACAGTGGAATGGAACAGAACTAGAACTCTTTGTCACTCAATCAAAAGTCCTTCCTAGTACCTAAATTGTGGTGTGTTGAGAAGTGGATTATTAGGCAGCCAGTAAAAATGATCATTATAAGGGTTACATAGAAACTATAGGACTTCCCTTGTGGTGCAGTGGTTAAGAATCTGCCTGCCAATGCAGGGGACACAGGTTCGAGCCCTGGTCCAGGAAGATCCCACATGCCGCAGAGCAACTAAGCCCGGGCACCATAACTACTGAGCCTGCGTGGCACAACTACTGAAGCCCGTGTGCCACAACTACTGAAGCCTGCACACCTAGAGCCCATGCTCTGCAACAAGAGAAGCCACCGCAATGAGAAGCCCTCGAACCACAATGAAGAGTAACCCCTACTCGCTTGCATCTAGAGAAAGCCCACGCACAGCAGCGAAGACCCAACGCAGCCAAAAATAAATAAATAAATATTTTTAAAAAAGAAACTATAAATCACGGTGAAATGTTAAAGTAAAACTTGCTGTTTAATATATGCTCAACAAATGTGCATTAACAATTAATGAATTAAGTGAAAAAAAAAAACAAAGCACAAAATGATAGCATGTCCATTATTATTGCCAGCAAGGGAAGGTGGTGTATGGATAGATGAGTGCAAAGCAAAAACTAACAGTCATATTTGGATGGGGGACTATGGCGATCTTTTCTTCAACATTACCTGTAATAATAACGTTCAACCACTTTTCTACTAATTACAATAAATTTTTTTGACCATCCACATCTGGGAAGTAGCAAGGACAAGAAGAGTGTCATGGAGGCAGGTGAAGGAGATGGCTGGTACCCACTCGGGGCTGACTTTCTGCTCAGTTGATGTGGGTGTCTGGACCGAGGACGGAACTGCGAAGAAATTGCTCACCCTCGGCTAGAGGTCACTAGAGCTAGAGCTGCTCTAATAGTGAGGCCCCTGATCCTTTAGAGCCATGGCCCTGTTAACACACAATTAAGTATATGTGCACATTGAAGCTTATGGCACCAATAAGGTCCTCTCTCCTGAAAGATAAATGCCTCCTCATCCAAGGTATTGGCAAAAGAGACAATGCTCTCTCCCCAGGAGGTCAGTAAATCCTCCCAGTTGTGTTCCAGTGAGTCTTGGTTGGCAGAGACAGGGCTGGTAAGCAGGTGACCGATTGACAGAGAAGGGGAGAGGTTTGCAAAAAACCCAGCGTCCTGACTTAAGCGATGCTTGGAGAGACAGGTTCATGATAGCTAGGTTTATCTTGTTTGCCTCCTTTTGGGATTGCCTTCCAGCTGGATCGATTCAAGGCCAATAACTTCTTGCATCCCCTACATGGGCGTCCTACCTCGCAGGGTGTAGTGTGTTGATCAGTCAGGTCCCAAAAGATATGTCCGCATCCTAACCACCAGAACCGTGGATGTGACCTCATTTGGAAAAAAGGTCTTTGCAGATGTAATTAAGATTCTCAAGATGAGATCATCCTGGGCTTTCTGGTGAACCCTAAACCTAATGACAAGTGTTCTTATAAAAGACCCTCAGAGGAGAGACAGGGAGAAGAGGATAAGGCCATGTGAGGACGGAAGCAGAGACTGGACTTCTGTAGCCACAAGCCAAGAATCACCTGAGCCACTAGCAGCTGGGAGAGGAGGGAAGGATCCTCCCCTAGAGTTTTTCGAGGGAGTATGGCCCAGCTGACACCTTGATTTTGGACTTCTGGCCTCCAGAACTGTGAAAGAATACTTATCTGTGTTTTGTTTTGTTTTAAGGGTTTTTTTTTGATAAATTTATTTTATTTTATTTTTGGCTGCGTTGGGTCTTCGTTGCTGTGTGCGGGCTTTCTCTAGTTGTGGCGAGCGGGGGCTACTCTTCATTGCGGTGCGCATGCTTCTCATTGCGGTGGCTTCTCTTTTTGTGGAGCACGGGCTCTAGGCGTGTGGACTTCAGTAGTTGCAGCACGTTGGCTTCAGCAGTGGTGGCACCCGGGCTTCAGAGTGCAGGCTCAGCAGTTGTGGCACGCGGACTTAGTTGCTCCGCGGCATGTGGGATCTTCCCAGACCAGGGCTCGAACCCGTGTCCCCTGCATTGGCAGGCGGATTCTTAACCACTGTGCCACGAGGGAAGCCCTTATCTGTTGTTTTGAGCCACGAAATGTGTGATAATTTGTTACGGCAGCCCTAGGAAACTAATACAGAGCAGTAGCACATAATCCAGGGGAAAAACGATCTGGAAGATAGGGAACTTTAGCTCCAGCTGTGGCGCTAGTGGAGGCTAGCTGAGTGCCTTCGGACAACTCACTTACCATCTCTGGGCCTCAGTTCCTTTACCTATAAAACATTGCACGATAGAAGAGCATTAGCTGTCATGTAAGTTGGGTCTAACCGTAAGCCCAGGTAATATAAACGGAAACATATGCAGAAGTAAAGTGTGTCGTTAAAATATGATTGTGATTTTTATATGCATTATTCTTGAGCAAGTGTGGATAATGTTAGAATAACACCATGAGAGAATGTTGTTTTAATTCAGGTTATGGGAGACGGTTAAAATTAGTGCCCACACCACTATGGGCATAAAAAAGAAACAGAGTAGGGTTCTTGTTAGGGCCAATCAGACGGCCCAGCCGAGAGGTGTGGGGTTGGCTGAGAACGGGAAGGAGGTACTTCCCGTGCTAAGGAAGGAAGTTGGTCTGGGAGCGCTGCCTGGCCGGCAGGCTCTGAGAATCTGGAGTTTCAGTGAGATGGCGGGGCCCAGCCAGGGGGCTGCTGGTCAAGTAGGGTGATACCCACAGACAGGGGTCATCCTGCGGAGACCTCAAATCCTGGCTGAGAATCCCTCACTACCTGCCCGGCAGACGTGAGTTCCTCATGGGCTGGAAAGCCTGCTGCTTTGGGAAGGGCAGGGGGCAGGAGGGGAAAGAGGATTTGGGTCCTGGTGGGACCACCAAGCATGTTGGGGCCAGTTGTTGGGGGGCACTTAGCACCCCAAGGCCCAGTTTGTGCTTCGATTGCTACTCTTCCCTCTTTCTCTCCTACGTGCTGATGCTCCGTTTTTGAGCTTGCTTTTGGCGGATGAGTAATAAGAGCAGCAACTCTTTCTTTTTTTTTTTTTTGCGGTACGCAGGCCTCTCACTGTTGTGGCCTCTCCCGTTGCAGAGCACAGGCTCCGGACGCGCAGGCTCAGCGGCCATGGCTCACGGGCCCAGCCGCTCCGCGGCATGTGGGATCTTCCCGGACCGGGGCACGAACCCGTGTCCCCCCGCATCGGCAGGTGGACTCCCAACCACTGCGCCACCAGGGAAGCCCCCAGCAACTCTTTCTTGAGCACCTACTCTCAGCCGTACGTTCGTCCCCTGTAAACTTCACAACACAGTTACCCTGGCTTCCCGGGTGAAGAGCCAGGAGTGCAGAGATGTTAAGTAACTTTCCAAAAGCTGGAATGCGAGGAGATGCTCCAGACCCCAACCCAGAGCCATGCTCCCAACTGCAGTCTACTGCAGGCCTAAGAGAAGGACTCTGATCTCTGTTTACATCAGATACAGCCTGTCCCTCCTCTGCTTGTGGGTTAGGATGGGCCAAGTAGGGAGAGTCAAGCCCTGGGAGGGTTGGGGGACCCCAGAGCAGAGCTCAAAGAGAATGTGGACAGGGCTTCCCTGGTGGCGCAGTGGTTGGGAGTCCGCCTGCCGATGCAGGGGACACGGGTTCGAGCCCTGGTCTGGGAAGATCCCATGTGCCGCAGAGCGGCTGCGCCCGTGAGCCATGGCCGCTGAGCCTGCGCGTCCGGAGCCTGTGCTCCGCAACGGGAGAGGCCACAGCAGTGAGAGGCCCGTGTACCGCAAAAAAAAAAAAAAAAAAAAGAGAATGTGGACAGAAGGGAAGGGGGCCCAGGTGGACCCTCCCCCATCACCTATCTGCTGACCACAGTGTGAGGGGGCCAGCAGCCCTTAAAAAGGCAGCAGTGAGAGGACCATCCCCCTGCAACCACGTGTTCCCACCTGTTTGTGTCACCTCTGGGTGTGCCTGGCGCTCCCCTCCCTCACCGCCAATCTGGAGCAGTGACAATATGCCAGCGCTGAGCCCCGCCTCCCAGAGGGGGAGAGGGACTTCCTCTAGGGAACTCCCGTGGGAAGGGAGACAGGCCAATCACAGATCCCAGGAGGATGCCGGGGGCGCAGGGAGCATCTCTGCTGGCCCTTGGGAGCCGTCCCACCCCACTCTGGCGGGACCTAGATGGGACCTGGGCTGGGTAGAGGCACCCCGATGCCCAGAGACCCCACGGGCCTGGCAGGCTGGACCCCTCTCTCCCAGGTCTGCCCGTCCCTCGGCGGCCCTTGTTGGGGAAACAGCCGGAGACCTCGCCCTGGGGACCCTGGTGGTATTCGAGGCCCTGGAATCCCAGTTGTCAGACATGGGGCAGATCTGCTCGTCAGCTCCCTGGGGGCGCAGTAGGGGTGGGGGCAGGATTGTGCAGTTCCGGCTCAGACTTCTTCCTGTGTCCTGTCCCTCCACCCTTGTCCCTTGTTCAGCTGCTCCCAGGGCAGGGGCTCGGCCTGAAAAGGTGGTCCTTGACACCTAGGGGTGGGGGGAGCTTCTTTGGGACCTTCTTCCAGCTGCCCCCTCGGTCCTCTGCATGCTCACCCCGCTCTCCCCCCACCTCCCCAGAGAACTGAGTAGATTTTTCTCTCTGCAGTGAAAGGGAGAGGGAGAGGGGATCGAGCAGGGACAGGAGGCTTGCCTGCTCAAGTTCTCCAACTTTTTGGTCTTGGGACCCCTTTACACTCTTAAAAGTTACTGAGGATTCCAAAGGGCTCTGGTTTCTGTGGATCATAACTACTGAGACTTGTCAAATTAGAAACAAACTGAGAAAATTCTTAATGTTTATTAGTTATTTTAAAATAACTAATATTCCTTACTTAAAACAATATTAAGCCCATTACATGTTAACATAAATAACAATTTTAAAGCAAAAATAACTATACTTTCCAAAGCAGCAGCAAAATGGAGTGAGCAGAATGGCATCATTTTACAGTTTTGCAACTCTCTGTGGTGTCTGGCTTACCAGGAGACAGCTGGTTCTCACATCGGCTTCTATAGCAATCTGTTGTGATGTGTTGTTGGGAAGGAGATATATAAAGATAATCCGGCCTCACACAGATAAGTGGTTAGAAAGGGCAGGACCTCACAGACCCACTGGAAGGGTTTTGGAACTCTCAGGGATCCTGGACCACACTTGGAGGGTGGATAATTCATGTTTTTTGTTTTCTGTATTTTATGACACTTTGACATCCCAGCGCCAACTGATTACTAGAGATAACAAGCACTTGGACTAGGCACAGCCTCTGATACGCTAACCGAGCAATCCAGAGCCATGTCCCAGGCCTCCTTGATCTGGCTCTCCAGCATCCAGACAGTATTTCCCTGCCCATCCTAAACCACCCCAGTGCCAGCTATGGGACAACCAGGGACCATATGTGGCCCAGAGCCTGCTAGAATTATTCAAAGTAGCCAATCCTAAACTGTTCACCTGGCCCTGCCTTGCCACCCTGGTGCTCCCCGTGTGGCCCTGCACAGTGTGTGGTGCCTTCTGCTTCCAGGACACTGTGAGTAAAAACCTCTTCCTCCCTGACAGTCCTTTCCACGTCTCCCTACCTCCAGGTCATCCAGACCTCTCACTCCTCTTGATGTCTGTATCTGACACACCCTAGACCTGGAATTCCTTTACCTCCCTTCTCTGCCCAGCAAACTCTTACTCAGCCGTTGAGACTCAACTCAGAGGCCACCGCTTCTGTGAAGCCTGCCTTAGTCACCCTCCCCTCTGCTCCCCGGCACAAAGCGTTGCTCAAGCCCAGCACTGCCATCCACCAGTGTCCCCTGTCTTCCCACCTCTCCCCCAAGGGCAGGTGGCTGGAGGGAGGGAGGCCCCTTGTTCTGCTCTGCCATCCTGGGTTCAGGGCCTGACCAATGACTTTGGCTTTGTGGAATAAAGGGATGAGAGCATGAAGGGAAAGAGGGAGAATGCCTGCTCCTCAGGGAGCAGAAGCCGCTCCGGGAGACACCCAGCAGGCTGGCTCCATTTATGCCCCTGTCTTCTCTTCTTGAGGGGGCTGAAGCCACAGGAGAGGGAGAAAACAAACCCCCTGTCCTCCCTCTGTGTGGACACAGCCTACTTCCATCTACAGCCTGTGGCTGGGGATCCAGCCCCCTCTGGCATCTCTGTGGGAACAGGTCACTGGTCACTCCTGAGCCCTCTGTGTGTGTGTGTGTGTGTGTTGTTGTGTGTGTGTGTGTTGTGTATGGGAGTGGTATTGCAAACTGCCTGCAGGAGTCTGACAGGTAACAAGATGGGTGACGTTCATCATGGCCTGGGACAAGAGGGAGTGGCGGTGACTGCCGCAAAGGTGACCCACCCAAAGAGGTGACCTCAACTCAGCGCCAACAGAGCCAGGTCTTCCGACTTGCTAAGAGGAACTGGAAATTCTTACTTTCAGGTGAAATCTTCTGATTTTTAAGTGTTGTCCTAAATTTGTAACATACTGTGTTGATAAAGCAAAGGACAGCAGCAGGCCTCAAGGCCGCAGAGGTGAAGAGAGAGAAGCCTCTCTAGGTGGGGTAGGGGGAAGGGGAAGCATTCAGCCAGGGGATTATGACAAGCCCCAACCTGGCTTCTTTCCAGGGAGTCTCACTCACCCTTTGAGCCGCAGCTGCGGTTGAGAATTTCGCCAACACCATTGGTTCCCCGCCCTCAGGCGAGCACTGAACTCCAGCAGAGACCAGAGGTAGCACACTTAAGATCAAGCCCTGGGAGCTGGAAGGGACCCCTTAGTCCAGTGTGGGATCTGGGGCTTGGGGAGGTCAAGGGACTTGCCCTGCGTTGTGCAGCCCACCCCAGGCAGTGTGGGCACTCCTGGTTGCCTGCCTGAGCCCACCTGTCAGTTCCTGATGCTGCCTTGCCAGGGAAGCATGAAATGCTGCTCTGAAGTAGCCCAGCAGCGTGAAAAGCCAATACTCCGCCCCTTGTCACCTTCTATTTTATTCTCCAGAGCTCCACTCCCTCCGTCCCGTTTGAGCACAGCTTCCCCCCTCCTGGTGGCTTCTTCTGGAGCCATGAGATTACACACACTATTAGACACGGGAGGGGATTCTGTCATGAGAGTGGGATCTCAGCAGAAAATGAGCTTAAATATCAATTTGCTCATTTTTGAATTCTTTTAAATGGAACAAACTAAATAATTTTAGTGATGAGAGAGACCCTTTGCAGATGACACTAAGTCCTTTCCTTGGGGTCCACTCTCACCCCTGCCCCTGCAGCTTCAGGAGGTGGAGGGGCACCCGTACCCCTGTGCTGAATGGTCATTTTGTGCACCTGGGTAGAATGATCTGGGGTGCCCCCCCCCAATTCCCCGGGGGAACAGGCAGCCCCTGTGGGCCTGCAGTTCCAGGAGCATTGGGAGAACTCCCGGCCAAATGCCAGTCCCGGTGCCTGAAATTCTGCCAGGTAAGCTCTGGCCTTGAAGGATTTTTCTTCTTCTAAAGTCACTTATTAAAATATAAACACTCTGGGGAGGGAGAAACCTCTGCTGTCTCCTCTGTCCTCTGCCTGACCACAGGTTGGATTCAAGCACTGCACTGAATTTGTGGGCAGACAGGTCTAAGCCGAGCCTGAGAGGAAACGGGGCGAGTTTGTGTCCCAGTGGAGTGGCCCCTTCATTCAGAAATACAGAAGTGAAGCACCTCGCCTAGCCTGGGGAACTCAGGAAAGGCTTTCTGAGAACGGGACTTCAGTGCTGGGTCCTGAGAAGGAGTAGGTGTTAAGGGAAAAGCAGGGAAGATGAGGGGGCTCCAGGCAGAGGGAACAGCATGTGCAGAGGCCTCAAGACAGAACCTGATGTGTTTGAGAATCTGCAGGTCACTCAGGACTGAGTGGCAGGGGGTGGAAGGGGAGCTGGAGAGGCCGTGAGCCATGCTACGGAGTCTGCTGGTCCCACTGGGGGCAACTGGGAGCCACTGAAGGCTCTAAGCAACGAAGGGACCAAGTTAAATTTGAAGTATAGAAAAAGTGTCTACAGCAGCTTGGAGACTAGGTGGTCGGGCTCAAGATGGAACAGGAGGGTCAGATGGGAAGCTATTGCCGGAGTTCCAGTGATGGGTGTTGGTGGCCGGGACCCAGACTGTGACAAATGGGATCAGGAAATCAATGATCTAGGGCAGGGCAGAGCATAACATCCCTGGCTCCATCCTAAGCTCCAGTCACCTGGACTCCATCCCTTAGAGCAGGACACATCCCTCTCTCCTCTTCTCCACCAGTCCCCCCACCCCATGGCCACGGAGACGCAGACTCCACCATCGCTACCTGGCTGGTCCGGGTGATGCAGCGGCGGATGAGGTCCCTGATGTTGTTGCGCTTGTCCGTCTGGAAGTACACGGTGACGCTGGACTTTTCCTTCAGGTAGGGCTTCTCGGCTGAGGCCCAGGTGTGCACCAAGGTCGGCTCGCTGCCCTCTGAGGCCACAGGGAAGTAGGTACTTGAGGCCATGGAGCAGGAATCGAGTCCCTTGGAACCTGCCGTGGCCCTTCCTGGGAGCTCCGGGGCAGAGGGGGGCTCCTTGGCCTGGGCCTGGATGTACTGGGCCTCCACCGAAGACAAGAAGTCCACCTCGCCTTCCTGGCTGAGCACCCGCCGGTAGGCCTCGGGACCCCCATCCAAGAGGGCATCTGTGGCCAGCCGGGCACTCTCATTGTCACTGAAGTCAGCCCTGGCTGGCCGGACCCACTGGCTCTTGACATCTTCCAGGCGTTTCTGGATCTTGCCCATGTGTCTTGCCCCGCTCATGCTGCCCTGTCCCTGAGTCGTGTGGGGGGCAGCCGGCACCTGAGCTCTTCCTGATGTCAGGGGCAAGTGGGCCACACCACCCAGGAGGAGCGGGGCTCACAGCACTTCTGGAAAGCACCCACTCCTAGCACTGGTGTGCGGCCAGCATCCAGGATTACCTGCTCCAAGGTAATCCTGCCCTCCTGAGCAATGCTTCACAGGGATCATCACCCACTGCCAGGGGTTGGTTTATCTCTGAGCGACACCCGCCCTGCCCGCGGGCCAGGAGGGCTGGCTCTATCACGCCTGGGCACACTCAGCCCTGGGAGACTTCTTCTCCTCCCAGCAGCCAAGGTGAGCCAGCTTTCCAGCTTGTTGTGCAATTCTCCCAAGACCCTCAGGCCCCATTTACAAAGCAAGCAGCCTCTCCCAGCACAGTCACCGCTGTGCCTCAGGTCCCCTCCTGTCATTTCAGACGCCAGTTGGTTCAGAGACAGTTTCCCTGGTGGGCCCCTGAGATCTGCCATCCATCCTGTGCCCATGTGAGGAGGGAAGCTGGATGCCCCCCAGGCAGCACCGTTCACCAGGCACTGCTCCTTTCTCTTGGTAACACCCCCAAGTTCCCAGCCCTCCCCATTCTCTGGAAAAGCCTTCTTTCCCATCTCTCTTCCCTTATTGTGTTTGCAGTGGCCATGCTTGAACAGAACCCCCAGAGAGGTTCCCTTTCTGGGCCGGTGCTGATCTGTTGGAAGCGGCGGCTTGGAATACTACCTGGAGAAGAACCTTGGGCTGTGTCCAGGCCCGCGGACCGATGGGATCAGTCTGTCTGGGTGCTGGTGGGGCAGGTGGCCGCAGGCGTGTTTGAAGTAGATGAACTGCTAAGGGAGAAGCCACTTTTTCTTTCCAGGTCAGGCTGTGGTCAATTCCATGTCAATGGAATGCAAAACCTAGAGTCCTGATGTTACTGAATCAGGTCTGACTGCTTGACGCGCAAAAATCAATATTCCAGAGAGAGACAAAAGGTGGTGAAAAGGAAAGCTGCCTTTAATCAGAATGCTGGCAATCTGGGGAAATGGACCCAGTGTCCCCAAAACCCACCTCCCAAAATTCTGCTCATCCATGGAGTTTGTAAAGGGAAAAGGGGAAGTAATCTCAATCACTGACATAGGGAGTCAGAGTTGTTGCCATCCCTCCCTGTGTGCAGGCTTGTCGGCTCCTTGTGATTCTTCCTTAGGTGCTCTCTTGTTCACACAGTTTGTCCGTGAGATTGCTGAAAGAAAAGCTAGGGAAGACATCTGGTCATCGGCTGATTACTTATTCTTCATTTCTAATTTGATCTATGGAAAGAACCAACAGATTAGACAAGGTGTGGTGTGATCAAAAGATTTGAAAGGTGTGCTAGGGCTGGAGGTGAGTAGGGCATGGAGCGCCTGGTTTGAGGTTAGTGACAGGACAAAGGGGCCTCCTGCAGAGAGCTCTTTCCTGCCCAAAGCTGCTTACACGGACTGCCTTTGATTGGGTTCTTCCAGAAACAGACTAGGATTCGAGTACAAGTAGCTAACTGGGAAGTGATCCCAAGATGCTCTGGTAGGGGAGCAGAGGAGTGAGACAGGAAGGTGGGGGGAAGCTGCTTGGGGCAGGGTACGTTAAGGAGCATGTCACCATTGTGGACATCTGGGATTTATGAACATCTGTGGGAACGTCTGGGCTCTGGTCCTGCCGGGGACCTCCAGGAGATGGTATAGAATACATCTCAGACTTTTCCTACCCAAAGGCTGAGAAAACTGCAGAATCTATCTACCAACCCCCACTGATTGTTGGTCCAGGGCTGCTTCTGGGGCTGCATTAGTTCCCCAGCCCTACTGGCCGGTTCTGTGGGCTCACCAAGCACAGCCCTGGAGCCCGAGAAAGCCTGCAGGCAGAGGTCGCAGGCGCAAAGGACAAGCTAACGAGGTAAGAGCGGGGCCCTGACGATATCTGCTATGAGAATTATGGCAGGAAACTAGGATTGAGTGGTCTTCAAACAGCTGGCACGTGGTAAGAGCCAGGTGCCTCTCTGCGGCACATCTCTCTACTCTTTGGAGGACAGTGCTATATATAAGCATCTGTAACCCCACAAAAGCTGTGGAGGGAGGCTGTCTGGAAGTAGAGCAGTGTTTTTAAATGCACAGTCCAAGAAAGAGAAAGGGGATTTAAAAGGGATTTCTTCTCTTTTGAAGGATATAGAAGGAATCTAATTCAAGACCTCGGGCACCCTTCCCCTTATTCCACTTTATCTCCTTCCACAGGGCCTGGAACCTTGATGGGGACAAAGCTAATACCCTCTCTGTCTTTGGTGCCCCTGGCTCCACATGCCCTCCCTTCTGCCAGCTCCCTCCTTGTGCAGATTGACTTCACCTCTTGCCCACATTCTCCTTGGACCTTCCCTCCTCTCCATCTCCTCTGGGTCCTCAGCCCACTCTCCAATCTGTGTCATCAAATCCAGTCCCCAGTCTGGTGAGGGGATAATAATCCATGGGATTTGTGCTGGTTCACTCCGAGGCCCAGAAGCTGTTGATGGCTCACAGTTGCCTGGCACGTTGAGCACCAAGTCTCGAGCCTAGCCTTTGGGGCCCTGCATGTCTGTGATCTGTGTGAACATTGCAGCCTGACCTCTCCTTCACTTGGCCGTCATCGAGTCCTCCCTGCACGCTGGCTCTCTGAGCTAAGGGACACATGGAGGATGAGGCTTCGTCTCACAGATGAGGTAAGCAAGTTTCAGAGAAGTTGAGTAACTTGCCCAGCTAGTAAGTGGCAGAGCGCGACACAGTCCCTCCAAAGCCAGTGCACTTTCCACTGTGCCAAGCTTCACCCTCCCTTCCTTTCCCCGGTCCCTTTCCACTCTCAGAACAATCCAAGTCCTCTTATCAGTTCCAGAAAGTGTGTATGGGAGAAGGACAGAAGTGGGTAGATGTTCTGGGGCTCACCTTTCACCTGGGCCTGATTCTCTTTGGTAGATGAATAAATGATGGGAGGTCCCTCTGAGACAGAGGCAGGTCTCCGTGGCCTGTGGGGGCCATTTTCACTAGTCTACTTGCACAGTACCTATCTTTTTTTTTTTTTTTAAAGACTCTTTGAGTGGAACTTTCCCCTCAAGCTGCTGGAGGAAGAAGAGCCCTGCTTCTCCTGTCCCCAGCTCCCTGCCCTTACGCAGACCCCAGGGACTCTATCAAATCCTTTAGAATAGACAGCAAATGCAGTCTCTGTGTGCTGTCCCATCTTTGCCCCCGTTCCTGCACTCCTGGCAGACGTTACTAGTTGATCATAGAACTTCTTCCCTATGAGCTGGGAACCATCCCCTCACTGCTCTTTACGGGGCTCAAAGAGAAGTTCTCACCTAGAAGGAATCTTGGATGTACTGATGAGAAAACCGTACATCCAAGATGTACTAATGAGAAAACTGTTGCCCAGAAAGGGAAAGTGACTGTTCTCAACGTCACACAGCTGGCCAGTGACTGTCATCAGCGTTGGCCCTCCCCTCCTCTGCAGCCCCAGCCATGTGAAATGTCATCATTCTTGCTGGGTCTGCTGGCTGAAATAACAAATTTCTCCCCTGGGATTGCACTTCTGGACCAGGAAGTCTGGCCAGCTGTTGAGCCACATTGTCATACGTTGAGAAATCCTTATCAAAGAGCCTTTGATTCCAGGCACTGTGGATTATGGACAGCTTACTTCCCTTCTTCCATCCTGTGACCTGAAGTGTAGTCTCTCTGACTCATGAGGATACTGACAAAGAGGTAAGGAATGAGAAGCCAGTCTCTTGTTAGCAAATGAGTGGTGTTTGGGGCTTCCTGAGAATTCCATTTGTCTAGGGCCATGGTTCTCAACAGGGGGCGATTTTGCCCATCTAGCGGGGGATGTGGCAGTGTCTGGAGACATTGTTGGTTGTCACAGCTTGGAGGGGTGATGAAGCCACTGGCATCAAGTGGGTATAAGCCAGGGATGCTGCTACACCCTGCAGTGCACAGGACAGCCCCCACCATAAAGAACTATCTGGCCCCAAATGTCAGTAGTGCTAAGACTGAGGAACCCTGGCCTAGGACCCGGGGAATGACTAGTGAAATGACTGGCCCTCGCCCATGTAGGAGGTCCAGTCCCCTGCCTTTGCTCAGCCCGCCCCCTCAGCTGGAAGTCCTTGCTTCCCCCAACACAATTTATTCAAATCCTTCTCTGCATTCAAGGTCTCTCCCGATTCCCATCTATGGGAGGGAGCCTTTCCTGACTATTCCTAAACAGCCTTAACTGCTTCTCCTCTGAGCCTACAAGGTGCTTCTAGAACTTGTCTCAGTCAGTCTTGTACTAGTGATGGGTGCACTTCCCCATCTCCCACTGCATTTAATTCCTTGAGTGGTGCAAAGTCAAAAAGCTTCCATGCCCTTGGAATCAGGCACAACTGTGTTCAGATTGTGCCTATGATAATATGTGACCTCGGGTAGGTAACTTAGAGGACCTGCCTGAACTTCACTTTTCTGTCCATATAACCACAGAACACTTTTGGAACACGTCCTAAGTACCAGGCGCTATTCTACATGCTCTACGTGTGTAAACTCATTCAATCCTCACAGCAGCCCTGTGAGTAAGTGCTATTATGACCAGTTCTGTTTCATGGATGAAGGAAACTGAAACACAGAGGTTACCTGACTACCAAGTTCACTGGCCGGGAAGTGGCTGCTCCAGGAGCCGCAGACGGGTGGTCCGGTCCCTCTGGTAACCACGGTGCCTTCTGCCTCCTTGACGGGATGAGCCTCAGAGGGTGTGAGATCTAAGGGAGAAGGCCTGTGTGATGAGTGGTCCAGACTTGCCCAGTTTCTGCTCTGCTCTTCAGCCTAATACAGCACCAATATATCTTCCGGAATATTGTCGATATTATATGATACACTGCATCCTGTCACAGCCCTGCAATGTCTTTGTAAAACCGAGGCACAGGGAGGTTAAGTAAATTCCTCAAGAGCCCAACTGCAGAGCCTGGATTGGGTTTGTCTCCAAAGACCTGGCTCCTATCTGCACCCAAATTCTGTAATTGCTGGTGTAAGTGAAAATCTCCTCCTTTAGACTGTGAGCGATTTGAGGCAGGGGACCGGGACAGGTTAGGCACGACTTAGCTTCCCCAGCGCCTCTCCCACTTTGGGGCTGCACGTGGTAGGCATTCAATGAATGTTTGTTAGGTGAATAAACGGCTCAGAGCTCCTGGGGCAGAGGCCCGCTTGCACAGGCAGAAGGTGCTCAGATAGGATTCCAGAGCTTGTCTGTGGGGCAGCCGGGGGCTGAGAGCTTGGGCTGTGGGCCCAGGAACCTGGAGGAACAGGGCGCCTGTTTGAGCTCCCGGAGCACCTGCCAGCCTCTCCCTACCACATCCCCATCAAGGCCTGCAGCAGCAAGAAAATTGTACGCTTGCATTACCCAGCGACCCAAGAAGTGCAATTAAGTTGAAAATTAGTTGGCATAATTAATTAGACGGGTAAATAGCTCCCTGTCACCACCAATCAATCCATTCTGCGTATAATCAGCTCAGTGCAGGCAGGCCAGGGCTCAGGCAGCTCCTGCTGCTGCTGGCAGGCCAGGGCCTAGGGTGGGAGCAGAAATGGGACAGGGTGTCCAGCCAGGTACCCTAAACCCAACCCACCCCCAGGTCCTTCTACAACTGCTTTTCATGGGAGCAGCCTCCTGGCAAGTCCATCTTCGGCACCCAGCAAAGCCACAGCTGAACTCCCAGGAAGCCACAGCTGCAAAGTCCCTTTGCTCCCTCAAGTTTCCTACTTTCGAGTTCCCGGTCCATTGCTCGAGGTTTCTGACATGCATAAAAACCACAAAGAGCTCCCTTTTCTTGGCTAATAAATTTGCAGATACTTTTTAAAAAATTAAAGTATAACTTAGATGCAGTAAAATTTACCCTTGTTACTGTACAGCTTTATGAGTTTTGAGGAATGTGTACAGTTGTATAACTGTAACCGAGCAGGACCCTACAGGGTCTTCCTGGGACAGACCTCCCCATGTCCTCAACCTGCCTCTTGTTTGTAGAAAATCTTTAGCTTCCTAGGCCTTCCCCGAGTTCCAAAGAATAAATTTAATCAGAGAAGTGATAAAAGGCAAAAGCAAAGGAAAACAGTCAAGCAAGACAAAATTAATAGTTTAGGCATTGTTGAATGGCTGAAGTCAAGGACATCTAACTCCTCCTCAAGGACTATAGAGAATATTCTGAGCCGTGTCCTTTGAGCCATTTAGCAGATACTGAAACCCCCACCAGGCGGAAGGGTTAACTGCATGCTGCCCACAAGCACACAGGCCCCAGACCAGTTGGAACCAGAAGGTTGATGATGTTGACTCCTGATTACCTCACCACCAACCAATCAGAAAAATGTCCACGAGCTGACCACACACCCTGCAACCCCTCTCCCTCATCCTATCGTTATTTATTTATTTATTTATTTATTTTGCGGTATGCGGGCCTCTCACTGTTGTGGCCTCTCCCGTTGCGGAGCACAGGCTCCGGATGCGCAGGCCCAGAGGCCATGGCTCACGGGCCCAGCCGCTCAGCGGCATGTGGGATCTTCCCAGACTGGGGCACAAACCTGTGTCCCCTGCATCGGCAGGCGGACTCCCAACCACTGCGCCACCAGGGAAGCCCCCACGTCCTATCTTTAAAAACCTTTCCCTGAAAGCCATTGGGGAGATCAGGTCTTATAAGCAAGCACTAGCTGCCTGGACTCCTTGCTTGGCGCCCTGCAATAAACGCTGCCCTTTCCTTCACCACAGCCCGGTGTCATTGGATTGGCTTTACTGGGTGTGGGTGAGTGGACCCAAGTATGCTTCAGTAACATAACCACCAGCATGATTAAGATCTAGAATCCTTCCATCACCACACAAAAAAATCCCCATTCCCTTCTGTAGTCAACTGCTTCCCCCACCCCCAGCCCCTGGCAACTACTGATCAGTTCTCTCTCCCAAAAGTTTTACCTAGGGACTTCCCTGGTGGTCCAGTGGTTAAGACTCTGCCCTTCCACTGCAGGGGGCATGGGTTCAATCCCTGGTTGGGGAACTAAAGATTTCATGTGGTGTTGCCAAAAATAATAATAAAAAAATAATAAAATAGAGAAGTTTAAAAAACAAACAACAACAAAAACCTCAATATTAAAAAAAAAACGTTTTGCCTATTCCAGAATGTCCTATAAATGGAATCATATAGCGTGAGCCTTTTGAATCTGGCTTCTTTGTCTTAGCGTAATGCACTTGGAATACATTCATATTGTGGTGTGTGTCCCTGCTTAGCTGCTTTTTATGGCTGAGTCATGTTTCATTGCATGCATGTACCACGTTTTGTTTATCCCTTTCCCAGGTGAAGGACATTTGGTTGTTTCTAGTTTGGGGCATTTATGAATAAAGCCACTGTAAATGCTCATACAGAGGTTTTCGTATGAACATAAATCTTCATTTCACTTAGATAAATACCTAGGAGCAAGATGGCTGGGTCTACGGTAGGTGTATAGATAACTTTATAAGAAACTGACAAACTGTCTTCTAGGATCCTGTACCATTTTACGTGCCCACCATCCACGTAGGAGGCTTCTGGCAGCCCCATATCTTTGTTACTGCACGGACTTTACAAAATGATGACATCCAGTGCTGGTGACAGCAGGGCCAGCTCCATAATTTATGTGGCCCAATTCAAAATGAAAATGTGAGGCCCCTTGTTTCAAACAAAAGGAAAAAGTGCCATTAATGGTATTAAAACAGAAAGTTTTTTCCTTTCTTCTGTAGTCTTTCTCTCATCTTCTCATGGTATTTTTTAAAATTTGCTATTTAATGTTTTAAGTAAAGAAAAACTACAATTAAAAATTATTAGCATGAACTTTGCCATTTACCATTTATTTTTATATTGTGCAATGCCATTTTTTTAAAAGACTTTTTTTCTTTCTTTATTTCTGGCCGCAGCTTGTAGGATCTTAGTTCCCTGACCAGGGATCAAACCCAGGCCCATGGCAGTGAAAGTGCTGACTCATAACCACTGGACCACCAGAGAATTCCCATGTGCAAAGCCATTATAAATGCAAATATGAGAGCTTTTAACTTATATGTAGAATCACTGAAATTACATGGTCTGTATTTCATTTATATATGCATGTGTATTTTGTTCTTATCGGAAAGTGGAAATGCTGCAGGTGGCCAAATGATCAGAACCCGCCCAAGGTGGCCATTGGGCTGCCAGGTGAATCAGGGCTCTCCCTCCGAGCTGGGCTGGGAAACTCTTCCACTGGTTTTTTTCTTCTGAAAATAACTCTATTGGCTTTTGCTTTTGTTTTGTGAATATTATGGGTTCATTATAAAAATTTGGGGAAAACAAGCAAAAATAAATAAAATGCATTAAAATGAAAGAAAAAATCAAACATCTTCCATAGCCACACCATTAGACATTGTAATTTTTTAAATATAAATGTATTTATTTATTTATTTTATTTTGGCTGCGTTGGGTCTTTGTTGCTGTGTGCGTGGGCTTTCTCTAGTTGCGGCGAGCGGGGGCTACTCTTTGTTGTGGTGCACGGGCTCCTCATTGCGGTGGCTTCTCTTGTTGTGGAGCATGGGCTCTAGGTGCACGGGCTTCAGTAGTTGTGGCACGTGGGCTCAGTAGTTGTGGTGCACGGGCTTAGTTGCTCCGCGGCATGTGGGATCTTCCCGGACCAGGGCTCGAACCCGTGACCCCTGCATTGGCAGGTGGATTCTTAGCCACTGCACTGTAATTTTTAACATTTTCTTGTGTGTTGTGGCAACAATGTAGATTAGATCCTGCAGAACCCACTGCAATCTCCCTCTCATGTGCTTTCCCATGGCATCTGGGAAGCTCAAAACTCTTTTTCCCAGGCCTCCCAAAAGCAGAGCTCTGCGTGGAACCCAAGCTCTGACAGGCAGCGGCATCCTCACATGACCTGGAAGGTTTTTCTGTGGCAGCAGCTTAAGCAGACAGGAACACTGATGCTAGTCCAAGGCGTCAGAGGTGGAGAGCGGCGGCAGCAGGAAGGCTTCCACTGGAACAGTCCATGGTGGGGCTGGGCATCTTCCTGGCTGGGTTGTTTTCTGTAGCATCCAAGTGTGGTTCCCTAGGCTTCCTGGGAATTTTGTAGTGAACTAAGTTTCTGCAACAAACCCCTTTCTACTTAACCAGTTAGAGTGGATTCTGTTGTCTGCAATGAAGAACTCAACCTTTGGGTCTCAGCTTAACTTTTATTGTCTCCTTCATAGCACTTACCAAAATATGGAATTGCCTTGTTTATATATTTGTTTACCTACTTAGTGTCTTTTAATGAGGAGGAACCAGTTCTGTCTTGTTCACCACTTTGATCCCAGTGGCTATCCCACAGCAGCACTTGGTAGGTATCTGTTGGGTGAAATAATTGGTCACCTTCCAGCACCCCTTACCCCAAGAGAGAGCAGAAACACTAGCCTCACCACTTCTGTGGACCAAGTGGGCTGTATTCCCTCTATGTGTACAACTGCTCCCCACTGCCACCAACGCTTGCTGATTGCCTCTTTTTGCAGAGAAATGCAATGTTGTAGAAGATTCCCACTTGCACCCCTCTTTGCTGCTAGTGACTTAAAAAGACTATAAGGATGAATCAGCTCACTGTGGCCAGCTCCCTGCTTCCCTTCAGTGAGCAAAGCCCTGCTCTGTGGTGAGTATACGTGTCTGTGTGTGATAGCTGGGGACAGATTTCTGAATAGAATAAGACCCACAGACTCAGGAGGGCAAACATTATATCATTCATTCATTCCACAAACACGTACCAAGTGCCTCCTATGCATGTATGTGCAAGGTGCTGGAAGGGATCCAGACCTCCCAATAAATGCCCCTTTGTAATCAGACTTTCTCCTTTTGGCCATCAGACTGTCACCTAAATTAGTTGAAGTCTCTAAGCTTTTAATTATGAGCCTGATAATGCAACTTTCCCATGGGGTTGTGCAATTTCAGGCACAAACCCTACGTTTGAAATGCAGGTGCAGGAATAGATGTTAGTGACATGATTTGAAAGGATTACTGTGCAAGCAGCCCAGCCCCTGGATGCCTGCCGACTTCAGGCCGGAGCCACGACACCCATGAGCTCTGTGATGAAGGTGGCCTCATGGCTCTGCATCCCAGCACTGCTTGGGGTGCCAGGACGTATACCGTGACCTCTGCCATTGCCATTACACCTGCTGGAACTGTGGGCAAAACCACTGCCCTGTTCCAGGTCTGAACCTGGAAGGGGCAGGCCCAGTTCCTTGTGGCCCCAGGGCTGCTGGGACCACACCTACCACCACCTGTCTCACCTGTCAGAGGGGGTGGGGTGGGAGGGCGCTGAGAGGTGAGTGCTGTAACCCTTTCCTCTCCTCTGGCTAGGGGACCTCGCTGTATGTGGAGCATGGGAGATGGACCTGAATGTGTTTCTGGCCAGTTCATGGAAAGGCCTGCTTGGTTATTGAAATCAGAGCCTGCCCATCTTTGGAACTAGGAATGAGGTCTTTGATCAGGCTAAAATTTGGGGATCTAGAAATGAACCCACTGCAGTGTCTGCCCTCAAGGAAAGACAAGCAAATACAGTAGAATGTGAGAAGCCTTTTCTGTCATCATCAAATGCTCAAGGGCCCACCATGGGCTCTGCAGAGCCTATAGCATGACTCCCACTGTGGCCATGCCTACAGTCCAGTGGGAAAGACGGCAAATGAAAAGTCAGGACATTGAGCTGGGATGAGTGTTAAGGTCAGAGAAGCAAGAGCCAGGAGCGTAGAGAGTGGGGGTGGGGGCGGGGGGGGGGGGGCTGACCTAGCCTGGGGTCAGGAGGCCTGTCTGAGGTCCCGAAGGTTGGAGGCATTAGCTGGGGGAGGTGGGAGGGAATGGGTGCCCCAGGGGTGCAGGGGTTGGGTGTGTGCTGGGGGGGCACAAGAGTGGGAAGAGGTGAGCCCAGAGGTCAGACCCTGGTGGGAGGGGGCACGGCAAGAGGACTTGGGTCTTTATCTCATGGATGTGGGAGCTACAGAAGCTGTCACGCGGACAGAGAGGAGGCCAGACAAGCGTTTTCTGTGACGGCTGCCTCTGGCCTCAGTGTGGCAAGAACACAGCCCCTCAGGGAACATCCTGGCAGTCAGGGGCGAGGCCCTCTTCCTCCTGGGTGCTCTGTCAGCACGGCTCAGAGCAGTGACTCTCAGAAGCTTCCAGCAACAGGCTGACTCATGCAGTGGCAGCCGCTCGCCCAAAGACGGAGCTGGAAGGGCCATGGCCTGGCGCTGCCCGGGACAGATGGCAGAGACGTGCCAGCTGCTCCCTGCAGGGCGTTTCTGAGGAAAGCCCCCTCCCGCCCCACGCGCGGCCTCCGCTGCCTCCCTGAACTTGCCCAACTGGCTGTGCCCTGGCTTCTGGCTTGTCACAGCCAGAATAACCAGATGGGACCTGTGGGCCCGCGGCCAAGCCCTGCCACGTTATCGAGTCCTGGCTGGGAAGGGGTCAGGTCTGGGAAACCTCTGCCCCCTCTCAAAGCACCGTGGGAGAATCCACACCCCAAACCAGTCCCTCCTCTCCAGCCTCCTTCCTCCCCCAGTGAGCTTTCTCCTCACTTAGCCTCTTGACTCCCTCTACATTTTCAATTTTTATTTATTGACTTTTGTAAGCAGAGGGAACTGGAAAGGAGCTGAGAGTCACAGTGAGCCTGATTCTGAAGCCCACTCACCCCGACTTCCCTCCCACTGGACCAGTGACTGCAGGGGACTGTGCAAAGACCGTGGGCTGTGGTCAGGTCGGGTGCCACCCACAATCTGGCTGTGACCCCTGCCAAGCAGATGGAGACCATGCCCCGTGGGGGAGGATGGAAGTTCAGGGAGAGGTCAGGGGTGAAAAGAAGAGCTCTTAACAGCGGTAACTGCCCTAGCACAGGCAAACGCCCAGAACCTCTGGTCTTCACCCTCAGATAAATGGGAAATGCCTCATGTGCTCCCTGCGGGCTGAAACAGCAAACCCACCTGAATCCAGGACAGAACAGAGTTTTCAGCTGCCCACAAGCTCCTCACATGTCCATTGTTAAAGGTGTACAAGAATGTTCGCTACAGTCATTGTTACTAATTGGGAAGAATTCGATGTTCTAGAATCAGAAGACCTAGAGCAGCTCGGGCTGCGAGGACAAAGTACCACAGGCTGAGGGTAGAGGGGTCAGGGGTGGGGTGGGGCTTAAACCACGGTAATTTGTTCTCTCGCAGTTCTGAAGGCAGGAAGGCCGAGATCAAGGTGTTGGAAGGGTTGGTTTCTTCTAAGGCCTCCCTCCTTGGCTGGCAGACGGCCACCTTCCTTCTGAGTCTTCATCTGATCTTCCCCCGGGCAGGTCTGCATCCTAATCTCCTGTTCTCAGAAACAGTTTCACTGCAGTTACAAAGAACAAGGAAGATCTATATGTATTGACAGGGAAAGAGTTCCCAGCTTATTGTTAAGTGGAAAAAGTAAGTCACTGGGCAATATGATACTGATATCAGTGGTTCCCTCTGGAGAGGTAACAGGATTGGGGTAAGGGTGCGGTGAGGGAGACATTTATATGTATAAGTCTGTGCAGAGATTGGATTATTGTTCTCAATTCTTCACTCCCCTCCTTGCCCTGGCTTTGCAGCTTCTCCCCTGTGGGCTGGGTATATCTCCCTGGCCCGTGGATGTTGAACTTGGCCAGGTGACTTGGTTTGGCCAATAGAATTTGGATGGAGGTGCCCAGAGCAGAGGCCTTAAATGTGCTTGCTTGGTATAGTTTGGTCTCTCAGGCTTCTGTGACCCTCAGTGAGAAGAAGGCACCCCAGGAAATGGCTGACCATGAAGACGACAGCCTTTAAGACTGACCTTCCTGCTGCCAATGGAGACCATGAAGACATGACAAGAAGGGCTGAACCAAACCACAGCCTGGCGCTAGCCCAGCCGACAACACACCTGTGAGCAAGAAAAATACATGCTTACCTGGAAAACATTATGCTGAGTCAAGTAAGCCAGACACAAAAGGACGAATATCGTATGATCCCACATATATGAAATATCTAGAAAAGGCAAATTCACAGACAGAAAATAGATTAGAAGCTACCAGGGGAGGAGAATGAGGGGAGAGAGGGGAAAGAAGGGCTATTACTTAATGGGCACAGAGTTTCTGCTTGGGGGGATGAAAAGGTTTTGAAAACAGATGTTATGATAGTTGCACAACATCGCAAATGTACTTAATGCCACTGAATTGGACACTTAAAATGGTTAAAGTGGTAAATTTTGTGTTATGTATATCTCATACCACAATTTAAAAAAATAATAATGTAATATACCAAAAATACATTGAATTGTACACCTTACTTTTAAAAATATTTATTTATTTTATTTACTTATTTTCCTTAGGCTGTGTCGGGTCTTAGTTGTGGCACACAGAGTCTTTGCTGAGGCATGCAGGATTCTCTCTAGTTGTGGTGCGGTGGCCTCGCAGCATGTGGGATCTTAGTTCCCTGACCAGAGATTGAACCCATGTCCCCTGAATTAAAAGGCAGATTCTTTACCACTGGACCACCAGGGAAGTGCCTGAATTATATACAGTTTAAACAAGTAAATTGTATGGCAGGAGAATTATATTTCAATAAAGCTATTCAAAAAGAAACCCACATTGTTTAAGCCATTAAGTTTTGGGTGATTTGTTAAGCAGCGCTGTGCAGCACTAGCTGACTGATACAGTATGTATGCATGTGTTTTATAACGAGCACATATTATTTGTGTAATAAAAATATGCAAAACCAGAATTTATCAGGTTCCCTCCGAACAGGCCCCTCTTTTCTGTTTTCCTGCCCAGTGGTGGCACCAGGGCATTTATGGACATTGCTCCTCTAAATTTGGAGTGACACTTTGCTTCTCTCTTTATTCTTGGCAGTAACCCAGACCCAAATCCTGGCCGTTCCTGTAGACTGTGTCTCCACTCGGCTCTGCAGCATCTCCCAGAACATGTTTTCATCTCCCTTGGCCTGGATTGTTTCCTGGCTTCCCAGGTGGTCTCCCTGCCAGGGTCTATCCAGGCCATGGGGGAAGAATAATTTGCAACCTGTTTCCAGTACGTTACTCTGCTCAGCCAGCCCTGAGCCTGCCTCTCAACACACACACACACACACACACACACACACACGCTTTTCATCTGTAAAGAAGGCTTACGACAGCCTCTGCTGCCCATCAGAACAAATCTAAGCCCCTCAAATGTCACCTGGATATGCACCTCATGGGTACGATGTGATGATGTCCCAAAATTGATCACCTGGAGAATAAGCTGCTGTAGGCGGTCGGGCCTCTGCTCCCTTCCTGTCTCTCCTTCATATCTGTTCTTTCTCCACCTTCAGGATTTTATGGAAGATGAGAAAACCTCCAGTGCTGCAAATAAAGGGAATGTTCAGTTCAAAACATTGGTTTAGAAGTTGAGAACGTGAAAGACGCTAATGACTAATTGTAGTGGCTTCTAATTCAAAACTGAAAGAGGACATACATAACCAAGGCGATGGGTAAGAGATGATTGTTTAGAATATAGCTCAAAATTGTTAAAGGAATTGAGTTTTAGTGTCGACACAAAGCTCTCTCCATCCTTTTTTATTTCTTCATGTGAACAGAGTGTCTCAACATTTACATCTATAAATATGGAAAATAGGAACAGAATTAATGCTGAATCCCATCTCATTCTAGAAAAAGGGAATAGCTAGCCATGCAGACATGAATTAAGTGGAATTAAAAAGTTGCATCCATCTCATGGATATTTGTTTCAGATTTTCCATTTAATAATTATTCTTCAAAATCATAAATATATTTATGATTTTTGATTGTGTACTAACAAAAATAGTGACATGTCAACTTAGAAGAAAAATATGACACAAAACCTTATGGTCACAGGAAACAAAATTTTCAATTTATGTACATATTCTTGCCGCTGAGAGGCAAGTTAGGGTGCTCAATAACAGACATTCAAACATAAACTATTATATGAAGATAAAATGCTGGGGGTGGGAGTATAATGGAAATATGAGTTCTGGGGTGAAAATAAATGTAAACTTAACAAATGTTAGAGAAGCTTACTCATGAGTATTTAAAATAGATTATGGTTTGTATGGAATCCATAAGGTATTTCGATTTCATTGGATGCCTGGTTAAAAAAAATCATACATGCAGTTTTATTTTTAGAAAATCAGCATATACAATCTACTGGAAATTACATCCTTTGAATTTACAACGAGAACGTTTAGATACAAATTTAGCATTAATCGAGGAGGTGTGTAGACGCTTCTCAAGATTATTGTAGGAGGTGCACGTGAGGAAACACTTGCGGAAACTGCTGCTGGGGGTGAGGGATGAGCTGGTGAGAGCCCCGCGCCGCGCCGTGGTCCGACTCGGGACGGAGCCCCGCCTCGCGTAGCTACGAGCCGCTCGAACTTGGGCAGGTCGCCCAGCCTCTGTGAGTTTGCGTTTGCGCATCCGTATGTGTAGTGCAGCGGTAACACCGACCCCCTCTGGGTGGTTTACCCGGCAGTAAATGAGCCGCCGTCGTGTAAGCGTTTAGCCTCCATTCAGCCAAGTGAGGGGGGGAGGTGGGGAAGGGAGAAGCAATCCTGGAAGGAAAAGGGGATGAGATTGCTCAGAGCAGGTGACCTTTGACCTGGCTGAAGAAGGGCAAGCAGGAGATCCCGGCACAGAAAAGGGGCCTGATACGGGAAAAATCGTGTCAGGCGGAGGGAACAGCCCTCGCGAAGGCCTGGAGGTGGGAACTGCTTCCTCCAGGAGCCCCTGCCCCCAGCCCCCGACGGAAAGGGACAACCTGCCTTCACCCGGCCACGGTCACCCATCACTAGACGAGCCTGGGGGTCGCCACCTGCAGGAGCCTCTGCGCCTGCGACCCTGATGGGCACGTAACACCGACCACTGAGCCCTTTATTTAGGACTCAGGGCGCAGCCAGCCGTCGGGTCCCTCCAGCGTATACAGGAGGTGCTCAGTGGGGCTTCTGTATCTGCCCAGATTCTGCCGCAGCTTGGGCTTCCTTGAGGCAGTAAGGAAGTCGGTCAACGCTCCCCGGGCCTGGAGACCTGGGTGTAACTGCCGCGACACTCCCTGTTTGCCGTTCTCGGGGTCCCCGGATTCCTCCGTGTGTGTGTGTGCTGGGGGCGGGATCCCTCTGCCTGGGCCTCTGTTCTCCCGCACCTGCCGGGCGTCCTGGGGCCCCAGCAACCTTAGCCCGGAGCACACTCCCTCGGCCGGGTTCCCGCAGCGGAGCGTGGGAGGGAGAGCTCCCCCAGGGTTGGGTAAGTTTCATCCAATCTGCTAGGCCCGGGGTCCAGGCAACCTACGCCGTCCGCGACTCCTCCTAACGAGACGGGAGGACGCCGTAAGGTGCCCACCCCTTATCTGCACCGACCTCACTCCCAGGGGTCTCTCTCCAAATGATCCGCGCTCCCCCGCCCAATGTTCTCTACACCAACAACCAGGAATTCTGGTGCCTGCTCTTAAGATAATATTATTTTTCACCTTCTTACGCTGATGTTGTGAGTTTCCCTCTTAATGGGTGATTTAAAAAACACTCCCCAACACTTCATAATGAAACATTTTCAGATAAACAGAAACGTTGAAACAATTGTACAGTACGGTGAATATTCGTACATCCGCCTCCTAGACCTACGTTAACGTCTCGCTACTCTCGCAGTCTCCCGAATCTCTCTCCACTTCTCTGTCCTTAGGTCCGTCAGGCTATCAAACCGTCTTACCCTTTGAAACACTTCAAACTTGCAATCGTCCAAAGCCCTTCTGTTAGCCTGTCGTTGGTTGGAGTTCAGTCTTAGTTTACATTTTTTAAGGTAAAATTTACACACAGCGAAATATACAGATTTTAAGTGTGCCTTCCTCTGGTCGATTTTAGATGGTACATGGAAGAGTGCTTTTTATTTTAATATTTATTTTAACGTGTATTAGGTGAAAAATAAACATCTGTTTTCCACTTATAATAGTGACAAAGTTTCCTTTAACGATGAATGTATTTAAATGAGCTGATATAAAGGGCTGGGGGTAAGGGAGGGGAGAGGGCTTCCAAGATGCTGAGGCTGCGACCCGAGGTGTCGTTTCCAGAGCTGCGGACGCTTCTATGAAGGGTGGTCTCAGACGCCGAGCTCCGGGCAGAGGTGGGAACTTGGAGCGTCATAAGGGGCTGGGCACCCGACTGGATCTGGGGATCTGCGGTGGGGCCGGAGTAGTGTGCATTGTGTGTGCACGTGTGTGTTTTCAAATCATTATGCATGTGCGCCCCGACTCCAGTTGTTTGAGGCTGAGAGTGTCTCTGTGAACGCAGCACCCAGCACAAGGCCGGGGACACGGTAGGTGCCCAAGAAGTGTTTCACGAGATCACGCATGTGCAAACGCTTTGTAAACAGTCTACAAAAATAAGAGTTTACAACAGCAGGAAGAATCCCACGGCCCCGGATCCCCAGGACTCGGCACATGGGGTCCGACAAGCCGCAGTGCTTGTTGATTGATAAATAGACCGGCAGGCGGAGGAAGACCGGAGTGGCGTGGCCGGTTCAGCCAGGGCGGGCACTGGGGTCGGCAACTCCTGTGTCCGGGATCAGGGACTCAGCGGAAAAAATGAAAACGTGGTTTTCTGAGCATGCGTACTGGGCCGCCGTAGGAGCCTCATTATCGTACTCCGAGATACAGCTGCTAGGTGCCTCGTTAGCGCAGTAGGTAGCGCGTCAGTCTCATAATCTGAAGGTCGTGAGTTCGATCCTCACACGGGGCACGATACTTTTGTTCGCTCCAGCTTCTTTACCGTCCTAGAAGGATAGGTTTTACTTGCTTGTAAGGGGATCTGTAGACCCTGGGAGTCCGCGCTTTTCCGCCCTGGGGTCACCAGCGTATTGGCATAGCCAACCCGAAGTACCGAGGCGGGGCAGAGTCGTTGATGGAAGATACCACTCTTCTGCTCCGCCGCCCTGACGGCTACGGCGTTCTGCGCCCGGGTGGGAGGACTGGAAGGGAGGCCGGCGCCTGAAGACGGGGCGGCAGGGGGTGGGGCATGGGGTGTGGGCACGTGAGGAAGACTAGCGCGCGGCGGGCTGGGGCCCGGGTGAGCCCCTCGGGAAGATCCCCACTCTCACCACCAGCGTTGCGGCCCGGGTACCCAGGAGGTGCACTCACCCTGCCGTCCCACCCTCCACCAGGTGTCCTGCCCTGGCCCTTGAGCCCTGATGGTGGCGGGAACGTGCACAGCCCTGGGTGAGGGGAGGCCGGGGTGCTCGAGGTCCAGGAGGACGCTGAGGGCGCCGCTGCCTGCAAAGCCACCTAATGGAGGCCCCAGGGCAGTGCCTGGAACCCAAAGTCTCCTGGAGAGGGTCCTGATTATCAACACCTGGCCCCAGGGAAGGGTGGGTCTAGGCAACTGTGGGGAAGTGGGTGGCACCGTGATGAGAGGCCAGACAGTGCACCGCGCTGAACACCTTGGTGAGGAGTTTGGGCTGCAGAGCTTTGAAGTGGCAGGAGAAGATCGGTCTCGGGGATGGGGGTGTTAGGGAGGTCATGCAGGCAGCAGCCCGGCCTAACGTGACAGGGGCTGTGCTGACGCTGCATCTGAAACAGTTGCTTCATTGCAA